GTAGAAAGAAAAACGCTTTATAGCTCGAAAAGAATACTTTACGAATATTATATTACAACTAGATATATATAACAGTCTCAGTTTTTCAGTAATCTAAAAGAAAACGTTAACTGATTATAAAATAAACGCAATGTGGATAGTATTAAAATAAAATACACTGAAAGACAAATAATTGGAAAAAGAAAAAAATTTATGTTTTAATCTAAGTCTACAAATTATAGATTATATAAAAATATAAACTTAAAAAATATAATATTGTTAAGTTAAATACAATTAAAATCTTAGAGGGTTTTTAGATGCAATCGTTAAAGATAGTGCTTGCACATTTGGTGCATACTGGTTCACTGTATCTAACATATACTTCTTTGGATTTTATATCTTTACTTCTAGGACATTTATTACATTTTACTCTGGTCTAAAATAATTTTAGATCTTTCAGTTTCTTCAATTTTTAAAATAGATGAAATTATTAAACGCAATGACTTATGAATATATTGAGATGTAAGACGTCTCTTAAGTTCAGGTTCTACTAACTGAAAGACAAGAGCTTTTATTCTTGCGTAAAAAATGAGTCATATTGAGCTGAAGATTAAGAAAATTATTTTCATAAAAGTAACGTTAACGGTACAATGGGGTTACTGTAACCCCAGACGAAAAACAAATGCATATAATTCACAGCTACTTACAAATAACTCGATAATCTTTTCTTCTGTCATACTAAAAACTGTTACTCGAAAGGTACTGAAGATATTAGCGCCATACAGTGGATAGTTCAGGAATTATCACGAAAATAAAATTAGTTGGGATCCTTGGGACTCCATTGTACCTGTTACGGGATATACAGGGTGCACTGAGAAAATATTTACTAAATTCCAAAAAATGTTTGTTTGGATAGTACTGTGAAGATATTTGTTTAAATTAAATAATTATTTTCTAAAATTAAATAAAGAAGTTTTAAATATAAATTTGTTTTTTTAATTTTAGAAAATAATTACTTAATTTAAACAAATATCTTCACGATACTATCCAAACAAACTTTTTTTTGAAATTTAGTAAATTTTTTCCAGTGTGGCCCACGTAAAGTGTTACAATCTAATAACTCTAAACATATTTGTCCTATCAAAAAGTTATTCATGAGAAAGTTTCATATATTCGAGAGATCTTTCTAACTACGTAAACAAAAATCCACTTCCGTCCACCTTAAAGAGGGGTGGGGGGTAACTTCAAAGTTTCAAATGGGACCTCCTATACAATGTTACATATTTGGATTATACGGGAAAAAACAAGTAAACTTTGTCTGAAACATTTTTTTTTTAAATGCTCAAAAATAAACAACTTTTGGAAAATAAACAACCTTTTGATAGGACAAATATGTTTAGAGTTATTAGCTTGTAATACTTTACGTGGGCCACCCTGTATATCTCTGTGTGTGCAGTGTTAAATGAATGTACCTCCACAATATATGTACAATGTTTCAATGCTTTGTAGTAACAAATCAATATTTTCACCTTAATAAATTTCAGTTTTGATGCAATAATAAAACACTTCTTTTCCAATCTTTATTATAGAAACAAAAAATATTGCAATATGCGTTTTCCATAGCTTTCATTAAAAGTAAGGGTTATTCGATATTTTATTCAATATAACTATTCGTTCGTTGTCCACGCATATATTTTTAAAATTGACGAATATATTTGAATACGATATTTCTTCTCGATATCGACATCTCTAATGACGATTACACGTTGAAATTGTACGCGCGCGCGTCCGCTTCTACGATGTATAGAAACAGGGTGGCGTGCACGACGGGGAAGAGAATCAACGCGGCGGAATCGGGGAACAACGTCGATCGCGGGTGGATTAATTGTAGGCGGAACTCGCGGAGCTGTGCACGGAATTGTACCGCTTTGTTCAAGTACATTTTATGGATATATATATTCCCACGTGCGCGTTTCTCCCCCGCGATATAGCGAGTGTCTCGAGGCCGCGTGTACGGTACGCCACATGAAACAAAGGGCTTTACCGGCGTTTGGTCACACTATCCTGCATGGGCGATCCGATGGACAAAAGGACTCGGTCTCTCTATGCACACAGGAAGTCTCATTGTATCTGTTTAGCCGACCAGTGTACGTATGCGTTCGCAGACGGCTTACTGGCTCCGCGGCCTACTAAATTTATACTACCTCTTGCCTCCTCTTTGCCCTCTTCTCCCCTTCTCCCGCCCTCGCTCCCATCCCGAAATTATATCCACCCTCGCAAAGCCCTGACCGTCGCGCCGTCGAGAGATAAATCTTTTTTTCTCAAGAACGCAACAAAGCAGTGCGCTTGACGATAATTCAAAGCGCGCCAAGTGCTCTCTTGATAAAGCGTTCTTCGTGCACCGAACGCGTTCTGTGTTTACACCGCGATAATAAAATTGTTCGATCCTCTTCTCGTCTCTTCCTCTCGTCCTTCCGTCGACATGAAGCAAGCGCAGTTGAACGCAGTTGCAATCGCAGGGATGTCGGGCAGAATGGCGCGCGCACGTCCCTTATATTTAAATCAGATTGAACGAGCCGCCAACACATCCGCGCACTCCGAAAATGATCGAACTATTATTCGAGAGGCTACGGGCTGGAGGGAGCGGGAGAGAGGTCGATGGTACGCGCGCGAATGCTCGTTTGGTTATCTAATTCTGCTGGAAGTTAGGCACCTATCGCACCGCATGCAAAGTGCATTCGGAGAGGGTAGGTAGGTAGGTAGGGTGCGGTGCGGTTAGTTACAAACGGTCGGCAGATCCATCGCTGATTCGAGGCAGATTTGTTAGGGTAACAATGCGCACGCACACACACAGCATCCCTCGCATCCAACTCGCGCACGCCCGCGCGCACACTCCTCCGTCCGTTGTTGGGGTGCATCGAGGGCGGAAATTCCTCCGCGTCAAACTATGCCGTTGTCTGCTGACTTACGATTAGAGTAAATTCCGGAAATGCGAAGAATATCTGGCGTTTCGACGCGACAAATCCGTCAGCTCTGGCGAGTATGCGAGCGTACGTATGCGAGCCGAACGAACGAGCGGTTATCGTCTCATCGACGATTATCGCAGCCGTCGGGAGATTAATGGGATTAACGCCAAGAGTCAGTGAGGTCATATAGCGTTCGCGCGCAAAGACACATTCCAGTTTCGCGACGAAGCGCAAGACACGCGACGCTCACGCTTGGGAACACCGCGAAAAGAGAATTTCGCTATTCAGCGCGTCGGCGAATTAACTCGGTCCCTCGTCTCGACGGGAATGCAGACGCGTTTCTTGTCCCTGCCCTGAAATATCTCTCCCGGGGAACTTGGTGGGAAATAAGTTTGACGCGGCTAGCGGAGTCCACTCCGGGCTTGTGGACCGCGACGTTGTACTGAGTCGAGCACCAAGTAATGCCGTTGTAGAGGCCAAACTTGGGCTATCCGGAGTTTCTTTGGCCACGGAGTGAAACAAAATTAGGACATCGAATATTCTCTCTTTTCGGGCGGGGCTTTAGCGCTCTAGGAGCGACAAAACTCGAGACTCGGGCTCGCGAGAGTACGTCGAGAGTAAAATAAATATAACGTTCCGCGAGAGAGCGTCCGGGACGCATGACGGCAAGCTCTGAGATATTCAGGAACAAGTTGTGTCGTTCGTCCCGCAAGAATCGCGACGCTTCGTTCTCTTTCTTTTTTTTTTCTTTGCATTCGGCAAACCGGGCGCACCGGTGTAACCCAGTAAAACAACTTTATTGGGGAAGAAGCATTCGGCAGGAAGTTTCGGCCGCAAAATGTATTCCATGTCACGCGTAAAAGACATATGTTCCCGGCGGAATAAATTTATCCAACTATTTTGCGCGGCGCGGCGCGGCGCGTGCCATGTTTAGCTTAAAAAGTTTAAAAGGCAGCAAAATCTCGGACGGCACGCGCGCATACATGCATGCAAATGCACATGTATGCATACATGCGTACGTACGTAAGCGCGTAAGTGCATAGGTGTGTATAGGTGAGACGAAATTTCGACCCAACTTTCCACCTGAGCCTTCTCACATCTGTACAATCTGAAGGATTATATGTTCGATACACATGAAATTGAAGTCTTACTTAATGCCTCTAAATAAATGGCAGGAAACGCACAAAATGTCACTTGTAGATTCTAAAAAGAACCTCGTCAAAATTGGTGAATTAAATAGAATCGCAAAAAGTTAACGTAGGCTTCAAAGTATCAAAGTAGGCGTTGAGGCTCACTCGCATCGTTCATCTCTCTTCTATGACGTCGAAAAAGCGAAAAAACGCTAAACATGCTAAATATTTTTGCAAAATACGTTGTATTTATAGTAACAATAAGTACTTATAATGATAATTATAATAATATAATAATATTATAAATTTAAATAAATTACAATATATACAATAATAATAAAGATAAGAATATAATATTGCAAATATAAATGCAAATAAAATTTGTATTTATAATTAATTAATAACATTAATTAATAATAAATTAATTAGTAATAAATTATTTGTAATAATAAAATTAATAAAAATAAAATAAATTAAAGATATATCCATAAAGCGACACTTGCAATCAGCCAAGCAGATCTCTAGAACAGTCCAAATACTTTCCTCTTTTGCTCTAACTAACAATAATTTGCCGTAAATTAACGTGATATACAATTTATCTTTTCAATCTCTCTTCTTGCATAATCCTATCACGTTAGTTTACGGTAAATAATTGATTGTTAGAGCAAAAGGAAGATATTCGTAATATCGTACAAATCTGCTCGATGGATCGCAAGTGTCGTTTTACGGATATATCCTTTTGTCATGTATTTCGCAAAAATGTGTTGGCATGCCTTTCCTCGCTGCTGACATCATGAAAAAAGAGATGAACGATGCGAGGACCCAGGAGTCAGTTAAATGGAATACTGAGATCGAAGATAGGATCAAAATTTCGACTCGGGCACATACATACGCGTATCGACCGATATTTCTCCCTTTTGCGCAGGCACAACGACCTACCCTGGAATATACGGAAGTTTCTGAAGAACCAGCTGAGGGAGTTCAGGTTTGATGACCTAAGGGACACCCATCCTTGGTCACGAAGCGCTTGGAGCCATACAGATCTCAGGAGATTGAAGGAAGGCATGGTTGCAGCGCAGGTGAGTTTAATAATAACGGTAATAACAAGAGTTCGGCCCAAGTTATTACTTGGTCGAAGTTCGCCCGGCTCTATCGCGGAACTGATTGAACGTGCGCCAAAGTTCTTTATTCGATATCGGGCACGCAATCTCACAGCAATTAATCGCATTTAATATATTCGCGACGCCGACGGAGAGGGAGGATCGCGTGGCAGCCAGGGTTTTGCGAGCGGCGTGCCGATGATGCGTCGAGTCGGCCTCGCCGAGACGCTTCGCGAAAAATGTCACAAGAATATTACTAAACTAAGTCCTAAGAGGATCAGCCCAGTTAAGCCGCTTATATCAAGCGTAACTAATGCTCCTCGATAAACTTTTAATTGCCTCGATTACACGTATCAGGTTTGCCAAGTGACATTCTCGCTGGGCTTCTGCTCTTCCGTGACCGCGATTTTTTGTATACGTCACTCCATCATTCTATCCATTATCGGCGAGAATCGTACAGATTCGCGCGGGACAGCCGAGTGAAATAACATCACCGCGAATTAGTACGGCTTTTTCTCGGTTCTCCAAAGCCAAGCTCCGCAATTAGCCGGGCTTAACACGCGATTTTGCCGGGAGTTCGTCGTAGCACACGAGAGCGAAAATTAAATCTGCGTGAATGCGGAATCGCACGTCACCTTGAGACCACCCAGCGTCGCGAAATTGTAATTAAATGTTCGCGCGTGAAAGCCGACCTACAGAGTCATCGGCGATCATAATTAATTTAAAGAGTCACGTTAATTCGGTCTGATTTAGATTTAAACGGCCGCCAGCTCTGAGAATCCGCGCGCAATTCGTCGTTCACCGATATTGCAATTAAATGTTCGTCGAATGCTGCTGCTGTTGCTTGCTGCAGCACCTACTGCCTGTTTTGTACGAGAATTATTAATTTACAACGTGCTGTGTACAGTAGTCCGGTCATAAATCAAGCGGCGGTAGCGGCAGCGGCAACGCGCCTAATTACAATTAATTGATTTTACGAAGATTTCCCGTCTACGTTTCGCGAGCGTGTGGCGTGCGCGAGCTCGAAAAATCCGATTTGCGGACATCACGATGCGAATATCTCGTGATTTTCATCCAGCAGAGGTACGGTGAAATTTTCGTCGGAAAAAAGAATTGCACGAAAAAACGAAGCCGTAACACGTAACAGACGCGTTTGACGGAGAAATACGAGCTATAAAATATACAGGGTGTTTACAATTATTGACATACATTGTGAAACCTCGTTCAATTGAACATGGAATTCCTCCATCGTTTCTCCATCATCTCAGAAGATTCGTGGATGATCACGCAACAAAGTACCCTACTATTTTGCAAATGACCACGTGGATTTTTCATTATTAACTAAAGAAGATTGGTGCGCGCGTACATATGATTGTGCGCGATAAAAAGAAAATTTCGACGAGTTCTAGCTGCAGCGGGTGTGCCAATTATTGTCAGACACACCGTATATGCACCGCGAGGGGAAAATAAATCGTCGTTATCTCTCGCTGTACATCGCGGGGACACATTACGGAAGTGCAAAAAATTAATTATCCGCGCGCCGCGTCCGCGAGTCGAAGCTGCTCGGTGGACAAAATCTTCCGAGTCATACGTGGTCATCCAGAATTACCGGCGGGATCGGGTAGTTTTTCTTGGACCGTGAATTTAACGAATATAAATTCGGTCTCTTCTCCTTTCCGATCGCAGCTATAAAGCTAGAGCCGCGCGCTTCCGCCAGGCGCGATCGTTAATAACGGGGATTAATCTAAAATCGCAATTAAGATCTGACCGTAAAAAATCGCCTCTCGGTTCAATTAACGGCGGAAACGGCTCTTTAACGACCCGAGGAAAATCGAGGCGAACTTGGGCAATTAATTTCCTTCGGTTGCCCGGCGCTCACGTGCCGCCGAAAATTTACCACGACACGTTTGGCTGCCGTTTCCCCCTTACCCCGAGAGTCTCCGTCGTATTACCCCGAAATACCCTTCGATTAATCCAGCGGAAATCCTTTCCGGACCGGTTTAGTATCGTTTCGAATAAACTTCGGGATGGCGCGCGCGAAACTTTCCAAGAAGTCGGTCGATGTTTATCGAACAGCGGCTTCTGACCGCACCCCGGACAGTCTGGAGCACTCAGCGGAGAACACGAAAGGGTGAAAAGACCGTAAAAAAAAGTTAAGGAGAAAGAGAAGGGTCGATAAACTTCCAACGCATTCGTGTGTGTGTGTGTGTGTGTGTGTATGCATTGCACTATATGTTGAAAGATACTTGTATGTTTCTCTAATCTCTCTCTCTCTCCCCCCCCCCTCTTTCTTCCTTCGAGAACGTTGCTGTCGAAGTGTATTTAATAAATGAATACATGCACACACACGCACGTACACTCACGCGCATATGGGGAAAAGTTGCTAAACTGACAATGTATATATATATATATATATATATACACATGTATATATATATATATATATATATATATACATTATACATACATACATTATACATACATACATTATACATTATACATTATATATATACATTATATATACATATATGTATATATATATATACATATATGTATATATATATATATATATATATATATATACATTGTCAGTTTAACAACTTTTCCCCATATGCGTGAATGTATGTGCGTGTATTTATTTATTAAACACACTCCGACAGAGACATTCTCGAAGGAAGAGAGAGGGGGAGAAAGGAGAGAGAGAGAGAGAAAAAGAGAGATTAGAGAAACATAAAAGTGTCTTTCAACATATAATACAATGTCTCGTCGAGCGACGCGTCAATCAAAATGAAGTATGAGAACGTAAAAGTTAAAACGAACGTTGCATAAATAACTGGAATACTCAGCGTCGCCTGTCGGCTGACGTTGCGCGAATTCCTCCGCATGGGGAATTCTCTCTCACGATTCGAAACGTTCTCATTATCAAAAATTACTCCCCTTTGTGCACCGCACGTTTATTGCGTCTAAAGTAGCTCTCAAAGGGGAAGAGGCTACGCGGAGAATTTATTTACGGTACTTGAAGCGCGCGCACGCCCGCGCTAGCATGTTCTCGTAGACGTGAAGTGAATAGTCGAGAGTTAGCATAGAAGAAACGGAGGAAAGATAAAGACGAGACGAATGCAATCGCGCAATGCGCACACGTAATAGTCTCCGGCTGAAGTTCCGCGAGGATGCGTGCGAGGCGCCGCTCCGGAGAGCTGAAGATATTCTTTCTCTTTCTCTCTGTCTCTCTCTCTTCCACCCTCCCCGGCAACGTACTCGAACGTCGGATTTGATGGCGCATGGCCGCGCGTATATGGGTCGTCGGCGCGCGTATAGCCCGCGGCCCATTCATACGAGAATCTTGGCTCGTATTAAATAAGCGATGCGACTCAGTAGCAAAGGTAATAAGCGGGTATATCGCTTCTCTGCCTCCCTCCCCGTATACCCATTACGGGTCAATATAGGTACGCGAATCCATTTAGGAGCCGATATCGAACGCGACATATACATTCTTAAACGCATCGAGTCTCGGATTAAATCGGTGATGTGGGAGGGAGGATGAGCGGTGAGACGAGAGGGGGCGAGGGGGATTACCGGATTTCGGTCGCGCGAGTGCCGATATTCATTTTCGAGGTAGCGCACGCCGCCCGTAAATCCGCGCGCCCTTTCAGACGGCGAAGAGGAGCGCATCGACTCTATGATATCCGTTAAGACGCATTACGAATTAACGGGGACCGTTACTCCGCGCGCTACGCCACGGTAACGCGAGCGAGCGACAGGCTGCTAGTAGGGATAAATAATACATCGCGGCGGGGGTTACTCCGGCATGAAATTTTCAGCCGCCGCAGGACTCTCGCCGCGGGCGCGCTCGCGCGCGCAGAAATCGAGCATTTCCGGAGTGGCATCGGATAAAAGCGTAATGTCGAAGATCAGCCGATATCCTCCGTCGCGCAGGGAAGGAAATTTCTCGGGAGACCTTTGAAAATACCACTCTCGTTAGTGAGACAGTCTTGGGGTGATCCCACTATTAGGGGCCGGTCTAGACACGGTTATGGCAACCGGGCGAAGTGCCATGATAAAGGGGACCGTTGCCATGAGCATCGCCGCGATCCGAAAAGTTACCCTCGTAAAAGCGCAATATGGAATAAGGAAGCTCCAAAAAGGGAGCGTGCTCTTGATTGCCCGCGCCTGAATGTTAAACGGCATTCGCTTACCTCAAGACAACGAGATGCAAAGGAGAAAGCGAAGGAGAAAAAGTCAAATGAGCGGCGCCCTCCGTAGACCCAGCCGAAATTTTAGCCTTACCTGACATGACCCTATTTCCTAACATCCGTATATTTTAAAGGATCAATGCATGTTTAAAATATATATGGAAACTAAAGTCTTGGCGTCCCTGAAGCCCGTATTAATGATCGTTACTTGAAACTTCTCTCAAATGAGAGAGACTATTATATAATTCAATTGAAAAATTCGGATCTAACTGAGTAAAAATCTAGGAAGTCTCTCACCTGAGACAAGTTTCAAACGACGACTATTGATACAGCCCTAAGGGCCGATTGTTTCAACCTTTTGGTTCAAATTATTTGACAGTTAAATCATATGTCTATCTTCGTTTTTCCTTCAAATTGGACAAAGACATGATTTAACTCAGGTAGCTTACCAACAGATTGGAACAATCGGCCCTTAGGGCTGTGTCAATAGTCGCTTGAAACTTGTCTCATGTGAGAGACCTCTTCAATTTTTATTCAGAATTAGATCCCAATTTTCCAAATGAATTATATAATATATATGACACATTGTATCTGTAATCGCGATTCAACCGGAAAGCTTCTATCCGACTTTGAACTCAGATCTAAGTATCTCACTTGAGAGGAGTTTCAAGTAACGACTATTAATACGAGCCTTAGCTTATCAAGAGATTGAAACAATAAATCCTAAATAGCAGAAAACACACTGAGGAAAAGATATCTAAAAATTAACAAATATTTTATTAGGTG